CAAATGTACAACGTTTCGACAAGGTTTTGTCATCATCAATGATGATGACAAAACCTTGTCGAAACGTTGTACATTTGCTGTCATGTTAAAGTTTTTCTTCATTACCCATTTAAGCCGTCTCCAGCCATTATTAGTCTCAAAGTGGGTTCCTCGTCATCGAATTTGAATTCATGTTGGGGTATGTTTTTAATATGATGGTGCTAGTAGATAGGAATGAGATTTTCTATCCCATATCTTGGATATTAGTTAATTAGGGCTGAGAAGTGATCACTTAATGAGTCAACATTGGTCTGCTACTGGTGGCATCATATCTAATGCATATCTGTTATAGTTCATTTGCAACACAATTACAAAATGGTGACTGTAAAATTTGAATTTAAAAGTGAAATTTAGAATTTAAATTGTAAAAAGTAGGCTCAAATCATTATCTTAAAAAAAATGTTTTAGAGGAAAGAAAATTGTTATTTAACACTGCCAAAAAATCCAAAATAATGATAGAGTTGGAAGTTCATTTAAATTGTTTGCACAAAGGCTATATGCTCACAATTGTCTCTGATAGATCTGAGAATAAGCAGGTAATTCAACAACACCTTGTGTGATGTAAAAATGGGATTTGATTGTCGTTATTATAGTGCAAACACAACCCTGAGGTACAGGGTGCATATTTGCAGAAATGGGACACAAGTTATGGATTCTCAAATTCACTATCCAGGCACAATAGCCACATCTAATCCCTCTTTGTGTTGTTTCACGTGTTTTGTGATCAAAAGTTGAAAAGTTATAGGATGACATAAGTATCTGTGTAGATTTGTGTTATTGTACTAGTAATGTTTTTTATTATCGTGGTTGTCATTCTCTTTTCATTTTTTGTTATCTTGAATATGGAAGGGTTCTTGAGTGTACCCTTCCTTACAAAGGAGGTTATGGCTCCTGAACTGGAGAAGTTCTTGATTTAGATTATCATAATTTGATAAAAACAGCAGGTGTGGGAATTCTACATCTTAGGAATTTTAGGGGAATCTAAGAAATATAAGAGGAATGTTTCATATATTACTATACATATAAACCATATTAAACCATCTTTTTGCTTCTTTTTTTAGTGTGCCACAAGGTTTTTAAAAACATCATTTCTGTTCATTTTCATTCATTGACCTCTTTTTATACTCATATTATCTTTGATTGTGTGGCTGTATGATGGACATTTTGTCTTGTCAGTTTTCTTGAAACACAGATGTCATGGCTCTCTGTGAAAAATAAATGGTTGGCTGTGGTGTGAAGAAAGATATTCCTTAAATAGACTGTATGAACAGTGGGTATGGAAAACTTGCATATTTGGACAATGTTTTTGTATTGTTTGTAACTGCTATCTGAATGACAGAAGCAAAGGCCCTTTGTAATCACCATAAAAAAAGCAAATGGTATGTGAAATTATTCTCAGTACAGCTAAGTAACGAAACCCTTCAAACTACAGTGTTTATAAGTACAGTCAAGAGAATTTGTCTAAGAAAAAAACAAAGCAAGAAAAGAAACTTCAGACGATCCCTTCAAGAGAAAGATTCCAAGCAACCAGAAAATTCATGAAAGTCAGCCAAAATCCATAAAAAAAACAAGGCTTTTGTGCTGAATCCAGGAATGTGCAAGAGAAAAAGATTTCCTAAGAAAAATCTACTGTCAATTTGTCGGCTACCAGTGTAAGAAGTGCAAGTGAAAAATATGGGATAAAAAAGTACTGACTAAGGAGGGTTACCTTCACCAAGTATTGAGGAGTTACCAGTCAGTTCAGTGAAGTCCAAGAAACCAAGGATAACGTCAGTTATGGACTGGATTAAAACTGCCATGTTTGAACATAAGAAATATTACAAATTCAGCCCACAACTTTCATTTGTTTGTTAATTCCAGAATCTCATTAAGCTGTTTCTTGATGAAACACAAAGACAGCTTCAACAGCATGGTTGGACAGTTTTGTTCCAGACATCCATATCTCTTTATTTAAAGAAAATCCTTTTATTATTGGTCGTAAATGTATCTTTACCTAATTTTCAAATGGCTTCAATTGGCACTTTTTGTTTTAAGATAAGGGGGAGCAAGAGGTTCTTATTCATAGCGTGTTTTTTTGTTTGGGGAATTTTTGAAACTTACTTTTGCATTTTCTTTGCAATTATTGTGCATATATGCATATTTGTTTTGTACTTGCAGTGGAACTGTTAAGATAAAGAACAGCTAGGAATGTTTTACTCACTCAGCTCGGCAGCTTAATTTTTCAGTCTCGGCTATTTTACTGTACTCCCACCCCTGATAAAATAAGATGCAAATTTTAGTTTTTATTATGATTTTTCTTAAGTATTTTATAACTGTTTTACTTTTAGTAGATAATTTACGAAGCACTTGTTATTTGGAAACAAGTATTTGTAAGATACCTTTATTATCACAATTGATCAAACATAGTACTTGTGCGAGTTAGAGCCGGGTGATTAGTGGAATTTGATAATCAATTAATTGTCAAGCTCATTAATCAATTCCATTTGGCCCGGCATGGCCAGGTGGTTAGAGAGCTCGACTCGCAATCTGTGGGTCGCGGGTTCAAATCCCCGTCCCACCAAACATGCTCGCTCTTTCAGCCGTGAGGGCGTTATAATGTGACGGTCAATCCCACTATTCATTGGTAAAAGAGTAGCCCAAGAGTTGACGGTGGGTGGTGATGACTAGCTGCCTTCCCTCTAGTCTTACACTGCTAAATTAGGTACGGCTAGCGCAGATAGCCCTCGTGTAGCTTTGCACGAAATCCATAACAAACAAACAATTTCATTCACCTGATCGATTATTCTCAGGAGACTTGGTTAGTTAGGATAATTGGAAACACTAATTTCGATTAGTTGATAATTTGTATGACTCACAACATTAATCAATTCAGCTGAACAACATTTAATTCATCATAAATAATGGTGAGAAATAATAATGGCAATATTTCAGTTACTTTGATAGTTTGAAGAATCTAAAACGGTAATAAAAGGAAACACTAATTTTGATTAATCAATTATTTTATGTAATACTAATTGATGTTATCAATTAACTAAATTAATCGCCCATCTCTAGTCTGAGCTCTTGAGTTTGATGTGCTCCTCAAATATTTTGTCTCATTATCTAGTTTATTGAAGGGCGTCTTGAATTACTGAATTCTGGTAAAGGCTTTCATGATGAGTTTGAGTTTGAAGTCAACAATTATGAAGATAAAAATGCCAGTGGACTAACAACTCAATACAAAGAATGGTTATTTACTATGAAGGTTAGTGTAATGTGTGTTCATAGCTGTAGTCTTGATGATTATTTCCTAATGTATTTTATTCTCAAATACTCAATACAGAGAATGGTTATTTACTATGATGGTTAATGTAATGTGTGTTCATAGCTGTAGAGTCTTGATGGTTATTTCCTAATGTATTTTATTCTCAAATTGCTGTTTATTGTCATTTTATCAACTTTAGGTTGCATGTGCCCAGTATAGGTTTCGTTTAAGAAGAGTACATTAGCTTTTTAACAACATTTTCATGAGACTGTTGTCAACAAGGCTGACTTAGTTAAAAATTATATACATATATTAATTTATAAATAGCTAATATAAAATTTCACCAAAGTTGCTGTCCTGAAAAAATTGTGCTTTGAGAGCTGCAGCATTATGCCCATTTGTTCATTTAATGTATGAAAATTATATCAACCAGAAGTAAATATTAGTTAATTGTAAAATTAGTTAAATATATAAATTACAAATTTCTTTAGAAAAATATACAGTTTAATTGAAATATATATGGTAAAAGTAAATAGAAAAAATGTTTTTTTTTAGTACTGAACTTCTTGGACAGTTTGTTGTTCAACTAACCACTCAAAGTTTTTTGGTTATTCATTCAAAAACTAATGTTAGTAGAAATAATTTGAACAAGAGTTCATTGATTACTTTTTTATTTTTGTATATTAATATCTGTTTAAGAAATGACAAAAGTTGTTGCTTTTCATGTAATTTATTTCTATATTTGAAGTCCATAATCTCATCTTAATTGTTTCGTTTTTCAGAAGGGTAGTGGTGCATTCTTCAAAAGTGTTAAAAGTAAGGTAAGCCATTAAAAAACTGACGGTCTATCAAAAAAGTCGCATATTTCTTAAGAAGATCTACTTTAAAGGTTTCCTTTGTTCTTTTAAAAGTTTTTAACAGATCGATCTTAAATCGAGATTGGTACTCATATAATTGATATGTATAGTTTCTTAAAATAGCTATGTAAATGGATTTTTCAAATGCTTTAAAGTTTGAAGGAATTTATCCTACAACAGGTAACAGACTTTTCAGTGTTTTCATAGCATATTGATCTATATCAATTAATTAAATTTTGTGATGAAGGAGATTGTTAAGGTACATAAATACTAATATTACTAAATAAATTTTTAATGTAATGCTAACAATTAAAGTTTTAACACATGTATAAACTTTTGTCCATTAGAAATGCTCTCCAAATTCCTAAAGTTCTTGATGTTTAAAAATGAGCTTGTTCATGTTTGTCTGTTAACCCTTAACAGGGTGATATCTTTCATCTAAGGACATTTATGCAACAATACATATGGTAACTCTTGAGATATCCTCATGAAATCTGGTAATATTTTGTTAAAGATGATAAGTATCTGGTACACAAAAATGACATTATTTTAATTACATCTTTCTAATTAAAATGTAGTTATTTGAACTCAAACTCAAGGTGATTTTCATATTTCATTTGCATGACCTCTAGAACCTCCTAAATGAATATTAAAAGATTTAAGGTAAATTAGCATCTTCCTCATTTTCTCTACCATATCACTAACTCTAGCTGTTATTGACAATGTACAGTGCAATGAAATGATTAAAATTAGGAAGTAAATATTTTAATTTTTTGTAAAATATCCTTAAAGATCTTCTAGTTATATTCATAATTTCAGATCTTTTTATCCTTTACCGTTTGTTATTCATATTGACACAAGTCAATGGTGCCCTCTGTCAGAGATATGCAACTCTATGGTGAAATTTTCTTGCACCTCATAATATCATAAGACTTGTGAACTGAAGCAAAGTATGATGTATATGTAAAAAAATTTTTAAACCTTTCAATTATACATTTTAAAACATAAATAATACATAATTAACTAAAGTATAAAAGTAAGACCTAAATACAATTTAACTGTATCTCTAACTATGACATACGTAGGTAAGAAAAAATCGTAAGTGCTATTGTCGATCAAGCGGCCAACAATACTACAGGCAGTTACATATATACCCCATGAGGGAAAACTGCATGCCAATTTCAAAATAACTGTTGTTGGATTATAATGTAAAATGAGTTCTTGCTAAGGACTGTATAAATGTGTATGTAACTTCTACATGTAGGCTCTAAAGCTCAAACATTCATCCAGAGAACTTTAAAATGTGTGTGTCCATAGGCTAAGTAAACATCTTATTGTCTAGATGTACATCTATACAAATGGCATTATATTATTGAAGTTACAGAGTGCCAAAGTGAAGAATTTGCATAGTATTACAATTATCAAAAAAGTTGACCGTCATGCTGGCTTTTAGGTTTAGGCTGTGGGGTTCAAGACAATAAACTTTATTATACAGGCTATTTCATCTAGAAAATAAATGAATTAAAACCTTTTAAATATGGAAAGTTTTGTTTTAATTAATGGCTAATTTATTTCACTGTTCTGTGCTTTATACTAAATTTGTCCATTTCAGAGGATTATAAAATAAAACCATGATATCATGGCCCAAATCGGTTTTCAATAAGAGTTTAACATTTCGACTTTTGTGGTTATGTAACTAAATCAATAAAATTCTTTTTTTTCTTTTTTTTTGGGTAGTTCAAGGATAGAAGTAAGCAAGTCTACAAGGATTTCAGAGTGAAAGCTCATGAAAAACATCACAAGGTATTCTAAATAACTTTATTTTTTTTCAACTAGTTTCCTGACCTGATATAGTGTTTTTAGGAGTAATTTGCATATGTTATGTGTAAAATTGTTAATGACTTTCTTGATATCTTGTCAGCTACAACAATGAACATTATGATGTAAACATGATGTTTGTGTTGTTTAGTGCTTGGGTTATATGATGTGAGATGATATCTTTAAATATGTATTGTTTGAGATTACATCTGATTCTAATAAAGTTATTAAAACTAATCTTTTTCAACAATTTTACAGGATAGCATAAAGAAAAAAAACCAAGATGATACGCAGCCAAAAAGTGCTCCTTCAAGCCCAACACTTCATCGAAATCGTCACACTGTACATGCAACTAGTAAGGTATAGATGTTTTAATTTGTCACTAATCAGTAGTTAGACTAGAATATAATGAACAGTAATATAAATATTTAGTTTATATGTAAACCATAAAATACTGAAGCTGCAAGATGTTTCCATTAAAATATTCTGCTCGTAAAACAAAAAAAAATCCTACTTTGGGAATATTTATGAATAGGACGTAAATTGAATGAAAATTTAATTCGTGTTAGGCGTCCAAAATAATATATTTTTTACTATACATCTTATTTTATTCTATGGCTAACCTTCTGTAAAGCGTACTTAATAAGCTACATTAAGCTTTGTCTCCGAACAGTGGCATCAGATTCCTGTTTGACAGGAATTCTGCAGATAGACAATGAAAGTTGCTTTTTTTTTTGTCCATACTTGTAGCAATTAAAATATACAAGTGAGTCTTTTTTTTTTAACCTTTTCTGACTTATATATGATTGGTTGACTTTAAGCTTATGTGTTTTTTTTTTCTGTTTGGTTTAAACCCTTTGCACTTCTTATCCTTACCTTGCTTATTTAGGTTTTTCTCAATTTGTTTGTAATGAAAATTTTTATTTTTTTAAATTTTGGGAGAGATGTAAGAACTGTCATTGAAATGTTTATTTTAATCCCGTTTCACAAGTGAGAATTCTTTTTCCCATCTTCGTCAATCCCTCTCCGTAAATGTCTTTTTCTAAACCTGGTTCAAGTACTTCAGGTTTTAATGTATATTTTGTTATGCTGAGTGAAATATTAGTAAACTGAAATATGTAAAAAAACGTTGATGAAATCCCCAGAAAATTGACTTCAGTGCCTGAGAGCTTAATGATATTGGAAAAAATGTAGGCGTAGCCATCATAAGTGATGTAAACTATAAATATGCAAAAAATAAAACTTTAGCTGTGTTTCAAGAGAGAAAAATATTTATTTTAGCTACTACTGAAAAATTAAGTATATTGAGAATTGAGAGGTTTTTTCTAATTTATTTTCAGATAAAGTATACCAGTAATACCAGGTTTTCCTCAACCAGGTCTGTTAAAGAACTTAAGGCAGAAAATTCTAGTACATCCAGGTAGATCCTTTATATATATTACTTGTAACTGTTGTGTAGTGGTAAAGATTAATTGTAGTGCAAAACATCACATACAGTATTCGTTGTTGGTACTTTCTCTCCCATCTGTTAGTTGTAGTTAATTAATGTATTCTAATTTTATTATTATACTCATTATTTAATCAAGAACAGTTTTACTAAATTGTATCAGTTCGTCATAACGAACATTTTGAAATTTATCATTCAAGAGTTTTAAGTATTTTGTTGCTGTGATAATTAGCGTATCTTTATATAACCATTCACTCTCTCGTGTAACAATATTGAAAATTGTCCAATGCAGTATGTTACATGAAAAAAAAAAGATACAGTCAGAGGACTAGTTTTTATTCCACCATTTTGAAGTCAAGTTGGAATAAAGCTGTTTTTATCCCACTACTAATTTTTTTTTTTTAGTTAAGTTCTTTCATCACTGTTGTAGGAATTGAATATTTAATGAAAATTCTAAAATTTGATGAAAATAAGTTACTTCTAACCTTTTGAAACAACATGCTTGTATTTTACACAACAAACCAGATCAAAATATGTTTATTTCTGACTGGGAACCACCTTTTTGCCTTTCTACCTGGCTGTTAGTCTGTGGTTTGTTGATCTCTACTATTACTGGTTATTGAGCATCCTTATCCATTGCATTTTGCTTTTCTTGGTACCACCAGGTGTTTCTTTCCCCGTTCTCTCCACTCAGTTCCACTCCTTTGTTCTTCTTCAACCTCCTTGCTTGACTCCCATACCTGACTGGGTCTGTACTGCAAGTTTTACATGCTCTCATGCATACCCTGTTTGACCTTTTTTTTTACGTAACATTTTTTTCCTTCAAACTTGTTTCCTCCGCCTCCTCACCTGCAATTGCTGTCATTTGTCTATGCTATTGATGCTTCTCCCACCCCCCTTCTACACCATCTTATATACTTCTCTCCCCAAACCAATCTTTCCTTCGTGAGACTTCTACTGCTTAGAAATGTAATTGTGCACTCTGTCCTATCTACCTTCCTTCTAGCTGTTACCTATTTCTTTTTAGAACCCATATTGGCTCCTGTGTCCTGTTTGGTGTTGCTTCTCATGGACTTCTCTCTCTTTTGGAGTCCCTGCCATTGACTATCCCTACCGTAGGACCCATCTTCTTTTTGTAGACCTCCCTCTTTCTACCCTCGTATATGTCAGTTGACTCCTCTGGTTGGTGTATTTGTCTCTGGATGTGGATGCTTCCAAGTTATTTAACATTTTTTTGCATTTGATTTGTCACCTGATTCATTCTCTTGCTTCCCATTTTTTGCTAGCCTTTGGATGACATCCTCCAAGCAGACATGTGGATGACTCCCCACATATTTGTCTCTCATTATTTACATCATTTAGCTGTTTCATCTCTTGCTGGATTTCGACTTTCACCAGGTTCCATTCTTCAACCGACCCTCTGTCTTTGAGAAGAGTTTGAACATTTATTTTTCAGCTCCCCTTACATTTATTAGGATCCCACCAGGTAGCTAGTGTTGCCTTTGAGGGTATACTTATTTCCCAAAATTTGCATTGAGCCAGGATAACAGAAAGTGTTAAAAAACATCCACCCTGGCTCTGCCAGCTCTCACTGCAAGATCAATTGAGATATCTTTGTGATATACATACTTACTCAATTTTCTGATCTAAACCCAACTGATTTCTTGAACTATTATAGAAAAAGTCAGCACCAGAGAAGTGTTCTGCTCAGTTTAGCTGGCTTTTAAAAATAGGGTTTTGCACTGCCTCCAGAAAAATAACTTTCTGGCTGGTGGTCTGATGGGGATCTTGGCACTTCTTAGGGTCTCTCTAACATGAATTTTTCCTCTCTTTTCTTGAAAGGATAAGTGAGACCCTAGCAACTTACCAGTTTCTAGGTGCTGGGGTGGTGGACCAAAGAGAATCCTCACCAGTTGGACTTTGCACAATATGGTGAGAAGTGGGGTGGTAGTGACACTGTCGGCGTAATAAAGGTCACCCCTCAAACAAAATTGTACCACAAAACTAATGTGCCCTCCTCCCACATCCAGAGCCTGTTTATTAGAGTCGAGGTGTGCACATATGGTACAATATGATTGAGTCCCAACCACACTACACATGTTGGCTCATTGACCACTTGTCTGTGCAAGTGCTCGGACTGTCATGTTCTCATTCCACCTGTCCTTGTGATACTTAGGACTCCTTTACACCCCGGGCAGAGAGTATAACTTGAGACAAGATGAGATCTTCCATGGGTGTGCCCCTGTGGATCCTCTGCCATCGAGTATTACACTCCATGGGCTTCTTTTTGGGTGTTTTCTGAAGGGACCTTGTCTAGGTTTTGAAAAATTTGCACCAACACCTCAACCACTTCAACATAGGGTTCTAACATTTCACTGTGTAGAGGTGAGTTATGTTTCAGAAGTTTAACATTTTTCTAATCTGAAAATAAATTAGGATAAATACAGACATTCCCTCCTGTCCTCCCCACTTCCAGTGCACTTTTGTTTTCTTGCCTTATCAAAGAATGAAGTTATCACAAGCGCATAGGGGGAGTTATTGCAAATGGAGGTTGTGTTGTCCTCCTATTGGTGAAAGACTTTTTGTCGCATGATTACATCATGATGTGCCAGCACACAGTTCATGTTAAACATGTGATTTTAGGTAGGAGTTACCTCAAAGCTAGTGGCATGCAAATCTTATAGGCAGACGTGTAAGGAAGATAGCATTTCTGTGAGTGGAGGTATTTATCAGAAATACATATCAGATTAAGAAAATGTTAACTTTCGGTTGTTTTGAGTTGGTAAGTCTAATTTTAACAACTTCATTTTCCAGAATTTTTCATTCAAGAGGCTAGCTTGGTATTTTCTGTTGTTGTACTGTTTTTTTTTTTCAATCTATGGTTGAAAATACCAGCTGAATATTAGGTTGAAGAAGAAAAAATGCATTGTATAAAAGATGGATTACCCTTGCAGATTCAACTCATAAGCTTCAGTGCTATACCATCATTTTTGATGGTTCACTGAGGATCAGTAACAAGAATAATAGAGGAATTTCATAGAATATTTGCTTAGTGCAACATATATATACAAATATATGTATATTCAAATTAATATACTTAATTGCAATAGTGCTCTTTTCTTACGGTCAAATTGCTATAAGGATATATTTATTTATAGATCATTTTAATTCTATTATTTCAATTTTTACAACTTTATGAAGTTATCTAGATATTTTTAAGTTTTTGCACAAAGTGCTAATAAATAGCTCATATTCAAAATATTTTTGATAGGTTACAGCAAATGAAACTGTTAGATGTTAATGAATACATGGAAGGGACAGAAAATTCTATGTCGGATAATGACACTAGTCCTTCTCCAAGTCTACAAAGAATAAACTTAGACCTCATGGGGGACCTTCAAGATCTGATCTTCAGTCGACAAACCCATGGATCTCTGGAGAGTATTGCAGCTTCCTCAGCAACAAGTGACTCCACCTCTGTTGACCTGGTAATCTTTCTTGGTGTTTGCTTAAGTCAATATGATGTCGGGGTAAAGTCGATCACCATATTATTTTTGGAAATATGATTGTTACTTACTAACGAGTTTCATAAAGTACATTATATTGCTGTTAGCTTAATTAAATTTATCTTGAAAACATTTTTTTCTTGTTTTATTTAAACACAAAATATAAATTAATTGCTTCGTGTGATTTAACTTTCTTTTTTATTACTCTATTTCTGTAGGTTCAACCATCAAGTAGCATGGAGAAATTTTATATTGATTTTCTTTCCAGCCAGGATGATCTCACCCATGATAACAGACCAATTCCTCCACCCAGATCTAAGCGTAGGAATCAATTAAGTTTGGCAGCAATGCACCAGTCTTCCAAAAGCCAGCCATTTTTAGATAAAGTAAAAAGTAAAAGCACTTCTATTATTCAGCTACAGCCTCTTATTTCTGATAAAAAAGTTGATCAAATAAATCCCCACAAATTAGCTTCAGGATCCACAAAGTCATTAGTAGTTTCTGATAAGTCCACTGCCAACTCTCAGGATCTCTCTGATGCTCTGATAAAGGAGAAACTAAACCGTCCAACAACTTGTCCTGTAAGGCAACAAACTAATCCTGTATACTTCACACCACCTGTAACAGTTAAAAGGTTGGAAAATGGTACAACTACACAACATTTCAACCAATCAAAGGACTTACAGGGTTCTTCGTACATTAGTGGAGAGAGTAGTGGCACTACCCCTTCTCCCCTTTTCTCTCCAACACCTGCCAATGATCTCGAATTGCTCAAAAAATATGGTCTGAATTTTTCATCATTGCCTTTAAAATCTCCAGGAGCCTCCGTGCGTCCTTTGTCTTCTTGTACTCTCTCTCCATCTTCTAAGTCAACTACGTGGTTTATGTCAGATACTTCCTTACCTCCAAAGTCGTCAAAGCTTCATTTGTCGTCGTCATCATCATCACAGTCACATTCTCTTGCTGATCTTGCTATTCAAAGTAGTTCTGATAAATCCCTAAAGGAATCTGAAAGTAAAGAAAAACACAGGAAGAAATTGAATATTCCTTAAGTTTTGTTTTATAATACAGTTATGGATCATTACTATGTAGATAGTAAATTTTAAAATTGGTTATTTGTGTAGACATCACTTCTTTTTTTTTTTAAGTCTAAGTCATCAATGGTGTTGAACATCATTCTGAAACAGCTACTTTGAAGGACAATTAATTGTGTAGGAATTTCTGGATGGGTAGCTGGATTTTTAATAACTATCCTATACGTGCTTCCAAAAGACACTATGTTCTGTACAGTAAAATTCAAGGGTAGTGATGTTGTTTGCTTAAGGTATAATGACTTAAGTAGTACTATCTAAGTGTCCAGAAAACTAACACTTGTACAGCAAAACTAGAATGTAATGGTAGTGTTTACTTTATACATATGGGCTCAGATAGTATGATATAAGTTTCCAGGAAACCTACTCTTACAACAATAAAACTAAAAGGAAATAATAGTGTTTGTTTCAGATATAAGAACTTAGATTGTATGAACTAAGTTTACAGAAAACCTACTCTTACAACGGTAAAACTAAAAGGTAATAATAGTGTTTGCTTCAGATATAAGGTCTTAGAAATTTCCAGAAAATCAATGTGTAGTATAGGTAGAATATAAGGACTTAGTTAATAAAGGTTCCAGAAATCCTACACTTGTGTAGTAGAAGTGAATATCTCGTATTCTTTCAGAAAGATTAGTAGTTTCTCAAGGATTTGACCAGTTTAGTTTTATTACTCAAAAAAATTCCAGAAAATGCTGGTGTTATCATGCTTTGTAATGTTGTAGTTATTTGGAGAATGTGAAATAGTTGTGATTGATGTTTTGAAGTCGATTGTGACTGTTTCTGTAACAACTATCCAGTAAAACTTTTAAATAATGCATGAGTTAATATAAAGTACAGTAGAACAGTTAGTATCTTCCTTTTATGTATGTTACTGTAAATAAATGCTTCTAGATCAGTATTATGTATACAGTTGCTGGAATGATGTTTAAAAATTTAGATTCAAAGTAAAATTTTTGACTTTGATATGTCTCTTATAAGCTAGGCCATAGTTTCTAGTATAGCAGTTTTTGAAATAGCTTAAGGTTATCTTTAGGATAATATTTATTAACATTGATCACTGTAATAAAATCCAATGTTGGTGGGCATTTTGTTTTAGTTACCACATTTAAAATATTTCTATTTGTAATAAATCAGACTTCATAATATTTATTCTAGAATACTTCATTAGCATTCATCTTCATGTTGACGCATTACACAGGTTCTTGTTTTCTAAAAAAATGACGAAGTTCCCCTTAAATAAACCTTCCAGTTAAAGTAGTAATCACATTGTTTGGTATATGTAACACTATCAGTGCAATTTTTTTCAAGTAAAATTGATTGGTTTTTCTACAGTGGTTACCTTTTCAACTAGCACAAAAAACTTTTTAACAACAATTTCGTAAAACAATATTTTATAATTCTGAAATTACTTTGCCTTTCAAAACATTAAGTTCTTTTTTTTTAACTGACAACAAATTTGACCAGTAAAAAAATAGTAAAACCCCATCTGTAAAATTCAATCTAGATCACAAGAAAGCTTAGTAACATTATCAATAGTACCAAAATTAGAAAATCTTAAAAAAACAAAATGGTAGATAATATTCCTGCCCCCTCCTTTTTTTTCCCCCGGTGGCTCAATAGTAAATTGAGGGCTTATGAGGCTGAAAGTCAGGTTTCATTACTCATGGTGGGCAGAGCACAGATAGCCCATTGTATAGATGTGTGCTTAACAATAAACAGGCAACTTTGTATTCTTTAAATAGATTTTATTGTACTTAGTATTGCTTCTAAATGAGAAGCCCCCAGTGGCACAACTGTAGATCTGAAGGCTTACAAAGCTAAAAACCAGGTTTTGATATCTATTGTGGACATAGCCCATTGTATAGCTCTGTGCTTAACAATAAACAAACATTGCTTATGAAATATTTCTGTAATTTTTGAAATGCCTGTAAATATTATTAAACTTATTCCAACAAGTGTTCTCGATCCTTACATCATTTGAAAAGCCCATCAACTGATAGGTACTAGCATTGCTCTTTATGCTTATCCAGAACATAATATCATTGATACTCTTTTTAAAGTTGTGGGTGTTGGTTTTGTTTTTTGAAATAATGTAAGAACAGGTGTTGAATGCATAATTTTTCATTAATAGCAGGTGAAAAATTAAAATCTTCTCCTTTTCCGAGAGTTTTACCAGTTGTTGATTGATAAAGCTGAAGTAGCTTTTAAGCATCCATAAAGTGTGGTTTGTAAATAAATGGCATACAGCTTGCTTCAGTTGTAACATGTTAATGCTTGTTATTTTGCTGTTGCCTTTAGATCAATATTACGATTATAGCATTTTACACAGAATTATTTTTAATAAATTGGACTTTTTAATACGCAGCTTCTTCAAGTTTATATGAAAGTATGTTTATACGTTAAGTTATGAGCTTAGAGTTCGGTATGGTGTGAAAAGATACTTTGTGACTGATGTATGAATCGGTACTTTTGTTCTTCCTTGTTGTAGTGAAATTGAAAGTATATATCCATAGTTGTCTTCTTATATTTGTACTTGTTTTTGGATATGTGCACGTTGTATTCAAGAAAGTACATTATGTATATAGGCTTTTGTTATTGGAGATGAATGTGAGTGATAATACTTAACCAGTATTAGAAAAGATTGTAATGAAATGACCTGTAAAATAACAAAATATTAACTTCTTATTCAATGTCATAAATTCAGTTTCAATGAGTGTTCCAACAAAAATATGATTTAGAAAGTTTTTAGTTACAAAATTGCCACAAAACTTGGTTTCTAACAGAATTTTACCATAAACTATCTAAATTTCACTGTTAGAAACATTGATAATAGATATCATGATGGTGAACTGATACTTAATAAGCTAAGCAAACATATTCCAAATAACCATAATTAAAAGTCATTATTTAATTTCTGTAGTGAATATTGGTGTATAGAAGACATTTTAATACTAGAAATAAACGATCCTTTAACACCAAATTTATTATCTTTCTTTAATTGGAGCATTCCACTAACACACAAACAGTAGTTAGTGGAATGCTTCTGAAGAAGCTGTAAAGTGAAATGTTTGATGTCTAATTAAAGAAAGATGAGTTTGAGGTTATAGGCTGTTTATTCCTTGTATTATAATTAAAAGTGTTAGTGGACAAGTTAACTTTTTAAGCAGATTTATTATGATTTTTTTTTTTTTATGAAAGTGTTTATCAGAATTAAGAGAGAAAAAAGTAAAAATTAAATAATAATATTCTAACACAAGAAGGCTTTGAAATTAATGGAAATTGTGTATAAAGGTTGTTAACTCCATACCAGTGTTGAATGTTTGGTTTGCTGTTTGTTACAGTGCTATTATTGTATTACCTTGTTGATTTGGTTTTAAGTATTGTTTTAATAAAAATTACATATGCAAACAAATTCAAAACTTCTAATTCCCAGCATCCTCTAATTCTCATAATTAACACTTTTTATTCAACTTTTAATCTTTATAGTTCTGTGTCACCATTGCTATTGTTAAATGTATTTTTAAGTTGGATTACGCCGATGTTCTTATACAGTTTTTGATTTCAGACAAACTCCTGGATTTTTTAGTAAGAATATGCTAATATAAGAGCCTAAAGCATGTTTGAAATAAAGAAATATATAACTGAAGATGCCTGATTATTTTCCATGCTCTAGACTAGAGTATATTGTAGTATCAAGTTCATATATGAGTCTCTGTTTTTCTTTTGCAAGGATAAGATTTTTTAAGTTAATGGATGAAAATATGTTATGTGATAAAAATTATTTAAGAGCGGTCTTAACTGGAC